TAGAACACCAATTACCAGAGATATGGTTAGTATATAGCCAGGAAAACTACAGTCCGTCGTACACAAGATGTTTTGATACTGAAATAAAAATTGTCGGATTCTGGGACATAAACAACAATCGCTTTATCTTCTGAAACGTCAATGGTACATTGTTTTTAACTGTTGTAAAACTCTATACAACGTCCCAAATCGTAAACTGTTCTATTTAAATTGAACGTGATACTAGAACTCAACGGTTGACGTTTGTGATTGGCTAAAACTATGTAGAACTCATCAGTGACCTTAACACTGTATTTCAGCTTAGTCTTGGCATACCGTGGCTGCGCACAAGGCTTAGTCCGTACAGTCTTTTTGTATGTCCCCGGGTCGTAGTTATTCTCCTTCCAAGAATGAAAGTTTCTGTCGCCTTGAATGATGTACAAGTCTCCAACATTATCTCCACAAATATCTGTTTCTATGACAGAGCCAGAAAGGAGATAGAATCCTCAGTACTCGTATCTGTCCCCCACAATTACAGCCGTCTGCGTAATGGAATGTGCAATTTTGTTTGGCGACATGACGAGTGGTGATGGTAGTAGGTACGTATTTACAGGTAGAGTTGATTCAGTTTTAACACCTTCGCAAAACGACGGATGGTTCCCTCGAGTTATCGGCATCATGTCTGAGGGACTGACGGGAATATTTGTTGGACCATACCGACCGAACCCTACAGCTAATCCCGTCACAAAGGACATGATCAAAAGCCAAGCCCAAATTTGAAATATCTTTGCGGGAGTAGTTCTTTCCTGAGCACCCAAAATATCACCACAGGCCGTGAAAGAACGTCTTACAATCGTCAGAGGTACAGTCTTCCCCCTGTCTGTTTCGTTTCTTTGATGTAGATGATGTAGATATATCAAAACAGAAAAAATCTCCACCGCCACCATGAACCATGATCAACCTGTCATGAATATATAAATGCAGGATTAAAAATGAAAAATAAACTTAATCTATTTTAAAACAATTGCGAAACAATTTTTTTACAACTGATATTAACCACCTTTTACTGCCCGCATGGAACCGTGCGAGATATCTTACTGTGGGTGGAACCGGAGTACCCGGGGAAACCCCCATGGTCGGGCAACTGATCCCACACTTATTCTGGGAATCAAACCGCGGGTGTTTAGGTGAAATACGAGTGCACTCGACCACCCAGTGCAGTACTTACTAAAGCAGTAGAGACTATGAGGTTAAAGTGTAACTATACTAGTTTACGTAGTGGCACAATAGGCATGAACTCTGTATAAGCGAGAGAAAAACAACTGCAAGGGAAGGGTGCTAATTTGGACCATCTCATGGAACTCAGTGATAATTCTTATATTTTGTAGATAGAAGTGGTCAGCTGCATATTTGAGATACATAATATGTACGTATTTCACATTATTAGTGTTAGATTAGATTCCGTATATATACAGAGAACTCTATACCGCAGCATGTTCCACTTCCGTTAATATTTTAATTGATGTAAATATTATATAACATATAAACAAAATACGGTAATTTAGTTCGATCTCACATCTGCATCTGCAAATATTCTCCCGATAAGTTCTAGTCTTTTTACTTAAATGCCGGTTGAAATATAATATGCAGATTCATCACAAACATTGTATATAACTTTCTGCTGACGATATTTTTCTTCCTTTTTACTATTGACTATGATCTTATACAAGACAATGTCTTAAACATAATCACGAATGAAATAATTTTTAATAAAACTGAAGATCATGCAGTCATAGGAGAAACCCATTCTCAAAAATAATATGCTTACTTATGATGCTAATTCCAAAGTAAATCTGATTGGTTGTTATGCTTCGTAAATCTGGAACTGTAAAATAGAAAACTCATAATGAATATGTCAACATTATCTAAATATTGTGAGGATAAAATATATAATCTAACAGAAAAAAATGTGCAATTTTAATGGATATAAAATCCAATATGGTATACCTCTGTCTTGTGAAAAAGATTGACAACAGGCAGAAATTAAAATTTCTTGTTGACAAATCAAAACAAACAAAATAAAACGAAAAAAAAAAAAAAACAAAAACAAAAACAAAAACAAAAAAACACACAAACAAAAAATGAAACTTAAAAGTGTGCGTAATCTTATCTTGAGTCGAATGCTTTGCCCATGAAATACTACAGTTTATATTGTATTTGAGTTCTTCACCATAATGTGTTCCTACAACTAATTTACACTCTTTCTTGCCAGAGAGAATATTTTCTTTCTTTCTGAAATTAGTACCTTATAATAAAGTGTAGTAGTGGCCAGTGACAATATTTCTGGGGGATGAGGGGTTGTATGATATACTATTACATTACATTATTATACGCACGACCCGTATCCCGCATCTGGATATTTCAGCTTTTAGTTCAAGACATTTTTTTCACAATAATATCATTACATTTCTCCAAAGACATAAAAACAAAAAATCCCAAATGAAATTCAAATTTTGACAAAATGCTTTCACCCAAGCTGGAAAACAAGGATTATAAACGTTTTCCTCTTTTTCCCATATTTGACACTGCCCCTCTGCGGACCCTTGTTTTGCTTAAAATTGAGTCCAATTAAAACCAAGCATATTTGAAATATTTTTATTGCAACAAAAATGGATTTCAAGAGTTATATCAATGTACCATATTACAGAAAAAATTGTAAAGTATCTTCTATATATCTCATTTGGTCCCCACTCTCAGGCCGCAGGCGACCGAGACTCACCATTCATATAAAAATTGGTTCCCCTCCTCCGATGATTAACGATGATGGAGTTCGCGCCACGATATAAGCAGGTGAGCTTACAAATGTTTTGTTTACAGATCAAGTATATGTAAAAAGTCTGATTGTTATAACAAATCACTATTAATAGCCCTATTATCAGAAACTGAATGTATCTAATTGTCATCAGTAGAAACCCCTGGTATTTATAACATCTCTGGAAATTCCCTTTATGTAACGACGTTCATATATATAGCACAAATTTCAAACGAGGAAGCCGCTTTATTTGCGTCGAGACTCTAACTCGCGTTTGCTGGTAATTGCAACTATTGCAGCCTACCTTTATTCAGTGCAATTCTAAAACTTTTGTCATTTCACTATCATAATTTTCTTCCTCTCGAGATCACCGGTATATCGCGCACTTACTTGCCAATTTTGATTTACTCGAACTAAGAACAATTCTTCATTCAAATGGAAATTGTTTCACTGTTTGAAATCGTTCTATCCATAATACCGTTTTCCTCTCCTAATCCGCGGATAACCTTATCACTGTTTGGCACCTCTGGGCTTTGTGACTACAATGCAATCGCTATTTTTGTTTGCCACCGTTTCACTCTGGGCACCATATCGTTTACAATAACAAATAAACCATATTTCGTTGGAATACAATATATTTACAATTACCCATAATAAGATATAATTACAGTATTAACAAATGGATAAGACAACAGGTCGTGCCTGTATCAGTCTTTCCCCACACAAATGTATATAATACCGGGACGGATATCATCACACTCTCACTTACCCTTACAATTTCTACCCAGAGTTGTCGTTCCTTACACTAACACGTGGAAGAAGGCGTTGAGCAGTAAAGAGATAAAACTCTAGCTTTTTACATTTAATAAAAATGTATGTAATATCAAAGAAAGAAGGAAAACATTTTAGATTTCTTTTAGAACCAATATGATAAGATATATCACCATATATATACTTTTCAATTTGGCATTAGCAATATACAATAAGACGTTCCAAAACTTAATTGAATATTTAAATATAATTTAACATATACAGGGTGACATAAAGTTATTTCTATTGTCTTAAGTTTATTAATAATATTTGTTTTACAACAATTGCGAAGCAAATTTGTCTAAGTTATGTAAATTACTCTCGGATGGAAGTGCGCGAGGTGCCTTAGTGTGGGAGGAAACCGGAGTACCCGAGGAAAACCCCTTGTGGGCGGGCAGGTGACCCCATACCTTTTCACATCCATTTCGGGAATCGAACCCCGGACGGCAAGGTGAAACGCGGGTGTGCCACCCGACCACCCAAGTCTTAAGTACACACACATACATACTCTCAGAGCAAACGAAAATATTCAAAAAGAGGGAAAGACATATCAAAGGTTCGATCAGCAATCAGAATGTTGAGTAATACGGGTGAATAGTGGGTGACTAGTAGAATCCGGTATAAAGTAGTTCCGTAGTCAATATATCATGACATAAATGATTATATAAAGAATTTAATTTTGATACTTAGAAACACCTTTTATAGATAGAGTACATATCTAACATAATAAACTAACACCATATAGATAACTGATATTTATGTTATAATAAATTCAATTATTTATTGACAGATAGAGATTCTCCGCAAATTCCAACCACGATTTCGCATTATAACATGTACCACATATATCATTGCAGTATTATTAAGAATAGTTCACCATGGTGTCCCTTTAAGAGTTTAACTAAAATAAAAATCAACAATTAAGTGCATACACACACGTCTGCATGTCTATATAATATCATATTTAATAAATATCGATTTATAACATACTGCTTACTAGTCATATATATGGATAACATGACAAGAGACATTGAGCAGTAAACCTTTCGCTTTTCTTATCAGGAATACGGTTTGACAGCTATCTCATGGATCCTGTTTGATTCCGACTCTCACTGCATTATCTGGTATTCAGGAGGAAGAGGGTTTACCGTAAGAGCATGGTATTCTCTCTCACGAACTGTTCCTATAGAGGTAATATACAGATAGGGAAAACTATGTATACCAAAACGTTTCGGATTTCGAAAAAGAACAACCGCAAGTGCTTAGTTTTTTGTTATTATAAAATTTCATTGACGCTGATAGCGGAAAAATCAGATCTTTTCAAAAGAGATATGAATTTGAGTAAATGGAGCACTTTCAACGACAAAAGTACATTTACATAAATGATGTATACAACAAATATTATGAAATCATAGTAAAGAGGGCGATTTCATCAACTTTGACTTCAGATCTGTGTTTCCTTTATATCACGGGATTCCCGAAAGTATCATCAACCACAGAAGCGTGAGGTAAGTTTGTCATGTCAATTTTTCTGCAATGTCATCGCCTGATCATATGATGGTGGATCACCCATTACATCGTTGTATGATGGAGCTGATGGCTCGTTCCTTAAGTCATTTACAAGTGTCTGATATTCATGAGCTGGTGGCGTGGATATGAGAGCATGCCCTTCACGTCTGTGAATGTCTCTTTTCAGCGCGTTGGCGCGACAAATCATATAAGCAATACCTCCAGTCACAAGAACACCAATGACCAGAGGAATGATTAGAAATATGGCCAGGAAAACTGCAGTCCGTCGTACACAAGATGTTTTGATACTGAAATCAAAATCGTCGGATTCTGGGACATAAACAACAATCGCTTTATCTTCCGAAACGTCAATGGTACATTGTTTTGAACTGTTGTAAAACTCTATATAACGTCCCAAATCGTAAACTGTCCTATTTAAAATGAACGTGATACTAGAACTCAACGGTTGACGTTTGTGATTGGCTAAAACAATGTAGAACTCATCAGTGACCATGACACTGTAATTAAGCTTAGTCTTGGCATACCGTGGCTGCGCACAAGGCTTAGTCCGTACCGTCTTTTTGTATGTCCCCGGGTCGTAGTTATTCTCCTTCCAAGAATGAAAGTTTCTGTCGCCTTGAATGATGTACAAGTCTCCAACATTATCTCCACAAATATCTATTTCTATGACAGAGCCAGAAAGGAGATAGAATCCCCAGTACTCGTATCTGTCCCCCACAATTACAGCCGTCTGCGTGATGGAATGTGCAATTTTGTTTGGCGACATGACGAGTGGTGATGGCAGTAGGTACGTATTAACAGGTAGAGTTGATTCAATTTTAACACCTTCGCAAAATGACGGATGGATCCCTCGAGTTATCGGCATCATGTCTGAGGGACTGACGGGGATATTTGTTGGACCATACCGACCGAACCCGACAGCTAATCCTGTCACAAAGGACATTATCAAAAGCCAAGCCCAAATTTTGAATATCTTGACGAAGTTATTTTGTCCTCTGCATCCAAAACACAGACCAAGACTGAGAAAGCACCTCTTACAGTCGTTAGATGTACAGTCTTCACCGCGTCTGTTTCTTCTGTTTGAGCGACATCGATTAGATGCAGATACATGGATGTATGTAAATCCTCCACCAGACGAACTACCACCGGAACAAGATCCACCGCCGTGAACCATGATCAACCTGTCAGGAATATAAAAAAGTAGGATATCCAGCGTTGCCGTAGAACTTTAATTGTAAAGAAAGGTCACAGTGTATATGTATGCAATTGTACATGTTGAATAAATAAAGGTGGTGATTTCGACCACTTTGTACTCATTCAATGATAATTCACGAATATACTTTATCATTTGTATGTGTTACAAACATATGATCAGATATTCTATATCAATGGGAAGACGCGAGGGGGAGGGGGTAAATTCGTTGATATTTTTAATTGGTTTGAATATAACGTATTAAACAAAATGTGATACTTAATCGACAGGCGACTTCAAGTCTGCATTACATTGGCTAATATTCCCGAATACTTCTCGGTTGCTCAGGAAATATATTTTCTTTCTTTCTTATTCCTCGTTTCGTTGAGGACTGTAACCCAATACTAGACAATGTCTTAAACATACAATTACAAATATATTTTTTCAAAAAGTTGAAGTATTTTACAGTCTGAGGGGAAATTCATTCGTAAAATGATATACTTACTTATAATGCTATTTCTTGATTAGTTGCTATCTTCAGCAAATCTTGCAACTGGAACATAGAAAACTAATTATGAATGTGTTGAAAATATGACAGTTTTACGAGGATATTTTATAAAATCCAATAGCAATATCATTTAATGTTAATAGATAAAAGATCCAATATGTTATACATCTGTCTGGTGAAAACGACTGACACAGAGAAAATCACATGACTGTTAAGTGGTGTTTCTTGTTCTTGGATGTGAACATTTCTTCCTTTTCACTGAAATACACCTCCTAAACTTAGTGTTTAAGTAACTGGTATACTTGATGTCATAGACACCTCATGGAATATCAACAAACCAGTCACTTCATTTCCAATATCTGTTGGTGACCATTCACCGAGTCTTCGTATCGACAACACGTGTTTGTATTTGCTGAGTAGACTACCACGTCGAGGCCTGTCATCGTGTCAATATTGTTATAGGAATTAGGTGACCTAGTTTTGTTATACCCATGATGTTCCTCCTGGTGACCTTTAACTGGTTACTACGATGTTTAGTTATATTGTAATATTTAGTGTAAATGCTAATAATTCTATATATATACATATATATAATTATATATACGTAATCTTTCATTGTTTCTTGTCAACTCGTCTGAACAAGTTTCCATCTTCGACCTACTGTATTAATTGTGAATATAATAAAGGTTTTTCATGTTACAATTATACAGAGGTTGATATACTAGTCACAAGGGCTTGGCTTGATGAGTTGTAGGCTATGGTTAGGTAGGTCTCAGTGACTTGCCAGTATTTCAAACGCCCAATTAAACTCAATAGGAACTAACTGGGACAAGCCCCCGTGGTATTTTAATAACCACATGTATTTATATCCTCACTCACACACGATTGATTACCACAGACAATAAACATATGATAAATGTATAATTACAATACATCATATTAAGGCGTCTAGTGGAAATATGAGAGCGACAATTAGACAATAAATTAGGTTATAATATGTACCTGTATAGGACACCACCATTCATAAGGCACATGGACCACACTTATATGAAGTTTACATCTCTTCTCCATAGATATATACAACAGTATAAAACAGAGTAACTCTGCCGGATACTTGTGTATCCTGAAGATCAAGTCTAAATACAAGCACACAATGTGATTTAAACATGGCTACGTTAACTAGTAAACACGTTGTTTAGTTGTAAATAAAGTCTGTACTTACCAGGAAGTTATATAGGCTGTCCTTCATAGGAACGTCTGTAACAAATGTCTTGTTTACAGGTCATGTGAAAGAGTAGGAAACCTGTGTGACTCATTACTATTAATAGCACAGCCTTTTTAACATGCATGCCAAGTTTTACCTTTACATAAAAGCTTAATTAGAAAGTAGAATCTTAGAAATTGAATAGACGTGTTGTATACACTCCAAATTATGTCTAGATGCTGTCTCGATCTTATAGTACATCTTAAATATCCGGTTTGACTACTCAACTTGCTCGGGAAATCCCTCTAAATATAGCGTTGGTATAACTATTTACAAATTCCAAAACGAGGCAACCGCAGTGACGTGTCAAGCTGCTATCTTTAGAACTGTTATTATAGAACTTTATACCTTTCAAATATATAACTGATATCTATGGTAGTAACGAATGCATTAAAAAGTCTTCAACTAATCAACAGTCAGGTCCTTCACAGGATGTATTTCCTTTAACTATCATTGCTAATTTTTCAATTTATTTCCTGACGAATTCCTTCAACAATTTTGATTAGAACCAGTACCTCATATGTTATCGCAGCATTTGGGAAAACGAGAGAAAGAAAAATACGAAACAAAGAAAAGAACTAGATATTCCTTTATTTTCTTAATTTAAATAACAATCAACATAGTTTTTGTATTATTATAAGACTCATGCGTAATGTGTCAAAGGATAGGAAAGAAATATTCCATCCGAAGGTCACAAGATGTAAAACCCGACTATTTTAATAGATTTTGCTACCTCGAAGATGAAATATCCCGTCCTTCACCCCGATACATCACAGTGTATTTTTTTCTCTCATTTCTCATTCTATATATTCAATGTTGTATAAATATCAGACGTCAACAATGTACTACCATATTACACAAAAATCGGATTTTTTTTTATCATGCAAGTGTTCGACGAGATAACATAGAAAATGAACTCTCAGTACCAAGAATTGTCAAAGATTGCCATTAATAATTACAACAAAATAGTCACTGCAAATAACTATTTGTAAACGTGTGTATATATATTGCATCAGGCAATAACGTCAGTTAGGAAGGTACTCGTCACATTTCTACACACGCCTGTCTGTATTGCAGTGATCCTCTCTATATTGCCCTTGATATAACAGTATTAAACATGAATAATAAAATATGAGAGAATGTCCTATCCACTGAACAAATTTTAATGTACTCTCATGTGTTATATAATTCAATCGCTTGACATTAATACATAGCTAGAGTGCTTAAATATCAAACATTATAAATATATGTACATCAGCCATATCATCTCTTAAAGATGTCCTCATATTAATCTAGTTGCAGATACAGGACATTCTGAAAAATAAATTTAACATCCGAAGCTGATTTTTTTTAGATAAGACCAATAAGCATTATGATTAGTATTTCTACTTAAGGTAACGATTCTCTTAAAAAGAATATGTAGTTCCTCCCTGCCCTTCTTCCGGTCTTCTCATTCTCACTTCTTCTTTTTCATGGCATCCACACAACCATCTCTTATATTTACGTTTTTCTGTTCACAATACGATGCAGATCTAACAAGACTTAGTTTGAAACATATTTGATCAATAAATATTTGTTTGTACCTGCATCTCTTTAGAGTTGAAAACATTTCTGTTAGGTGCAATATACCACCAAAAGGGAACTTCGTTAATGCACATATTTATTGACTAACATGCTTAAAAACGAAAGCAATTGATGGCACACACATAAAGCACACTGCTAATTCGTTAAACAAATAAATGACCTATAGCGCACTGAAGGTACTGTTTTGAAAACCTTTGCCCGTATAATCATCTTTTACATAACTTACTAGTCTCAACACCGAAATAGGTATATCCTTAATATCAAACTCTATCACTTCGTGCGACCGCTTCTTCATAGGTGGGAGGTTTCACGGCCAATCCATCGTCCTGACAACCATAGGAAGGTGGTTTGACAGTCATTCCGTCGTTCTGACAACCATAGTAGGGAGCAGTTAGTTTCTGATTCGGTTCCGACTCTTCACGCATTGTCTGGTATTGAGGAGGGAGAGAATTTCTGGTAAAAGTCCGGCGTTGACCGTCATGAGCTGATCTAATAGAGATGCGGTCAGCTCTCCGTTTTCTGTGTAACATACAGATAGTGAACAAACTACCTATCATGACAGGTATCAGCAGAAATATCACAACAAAAAGATAGTCTCGGGTCAAACATTTTGTAGTGACGTCAAAATCAAACTCGTCTGAAGGCGGTACATATACCACAATGGATTCCGAGGAATCGGTTCCCAAAAATGTTACGTCACATGCTGTGGAGTTGCTGCAAACAATATTCTGACGTTCACCCAAGTCATACACCGTGCGGTTCAGCCTGAACGAGATATCAATATCTAACATGAAATAGTCATGATTGGCAAACACAAAATAGTACTCATCCGTGCTGCTGATGTGATAAGAAACCCTTGTATTGAGGTAACTCGGATAATTACAGCCCCCTATAGTCTTTTTCGTCTTGCTATTTCTTGAATCGTCATTGTCTTCCTTCCAGTGACCAAACTGACGATCCCCTTTGATGATATACATGGTGCCATAGTACCTTGTACATGTGATTATTTCGATATCTGAGCCAGCGATAAGGTAGAAACCCCAGTACTCATACTTGTCCTCGTCGACAAATGTTGTCTTATTAAAAGAATATGTCACACGCTCTGAAGCAATGTTTGGAGCTGATGGAAGAAGATATGTATTGACAGGGAGGGTGGTTCGCACGCTCACTCCCTCGCATAAAACCGGATCGATCCCTCGTTTCATTATGACCATATCTGAGGGACTGACGGGAATATCTGTAGATCCGAACCTTCCAAGACCCACCGACAATCCTGTTATCAAGAATAATACTATAACCCATCCCCAGAAGATCATTATGGTGTGGAAATGGTCTTGACCTTTACAGCAGATACACACGCCGAGACAACGAAATACACCTGTCATGCACTTAGCGCACTCCTCTGAGTTTGCATTGCTGCTACCACCATAGTAATTGTTTGTAGACATAAATGTACCTCCACTGTATCCTCCACCACTAAAACCGCCACCGGAACAGGATCCTCCGCCGTGTACCATGATTGACCTGTTGACAACATATAGTACAAAAAACAATACTAAATAGCACCCCTTTTAATACCAATTTAACGTTAAAGGCGATAGATTTAAGGAATTCTTTCGTCCTTCTAAGAATCCTCATGGATGCAAAGAATCTAAATTTTGATGCCTGTGCGGCGACTGATCAAAGTTCCCAAAGAGTCAGAGACATAACAGCCCAATCGTGATGTGTATGTCCCACTTCACCACTTCCTCAGATTATTACATGTTTAGTGGGAGATGCCTTAATCACGTGACAAAGGTCCGATTTTCCCAATTGACTTTCATCGTTGTTTAATAGTACATCATTCTAAATCATTTGACCTACTTGATGATGTTTATGTAAGACAAACACTTATTCAGTACAAACAAAATTAATGAAAATATAAAGGAACTCAACTTCAAATATTGCTGATAAAAATTAAGATTGTCTTTTCCAACCGGATTATGGGATAATATCACTTACCTTTATATATTTGTCAGAGATTCTGAAGAACAAATTTAGACTAATAATATGGAAGTCCTAGTGTATATCGACACAGTCCTAGCGATAAAACAATAGAGATATAGTGATATATATTGCTCATATCAGCTGTAGTAATAGATATATCTCGTGACCCGAGATCATATCACATGCAGTTGACGTAGGTACGTATGTGGAAACTTCCCAACGTCACCAACAACAGTGATAATTAAAACGATATCATACCGCTTATAATAGTAATACTCCAAACACATCATGATAAATGAGGAGGCTGTTTGTGATAATAATATTACGAAATAACGCCTAACAGGGATTGATCCCGACCACAGAAGCAAAGTACACTTAGTAAAAAATGTAAACAATTGGTAATTATTTATAATTTGACATATGGTGTTCCTCTTGTTGCTGTGTTAATTTGTTGACCTACAAAGCTGAAGTATCTCAGAGCTTAGTTACAAAGTCCTCGACAAGTCATTGAATTTCATATTTATATTGATAAACTTCTGACTTTCATAATAAGAAATGTATAGATCATGTCCACCGGATATACCTGTCAGAGCATTTTAAATGAGCTGTCTTTATTACCTCAATATGTGCAAGTTAATACCTAATGCGATGAACAAGATGGTTTCGATTTCGCCAGCGTTAATTTCCCATTTCTAGATAATCAATCCTGATTCCCCAATTTCTATGTATAATGTTGAATTATGTACCACAACTGAAACTACATTCAACGGAGTGTTTCTACTCTGGTGATTCCCGTGAAACCAAAAACAAATTTAGAGAGATGGATGATGATAAAGATTATGGAGAACGTAATGATCTCATCGAGAAATGCTCTCTTTCCTTGTGTGGTGTGAAGTTAGGTGTTCGATATTAGTACTTTTGGCTCGATTGATATCCAGGTATAGAACGTACCATCTCCTGGATTAACTCTATAATATGGATATCTCGGACGAAGGAAAACAAGTTTAAAGTTCCCATTCTTCTTCTTTGCCATGAACTTTGTCGATAACATCCTGGTAAATCGTTCCTGTATTAACACTTTGCTTTGTTTCATCGATTTTGAATCATGATTGTTGAAATTTCATTTGACTGCTACCTTTACCTGAATTAAACTACATCTACATGCCATAATAAACAACGATTATTTTATATGACCTACCCTATTTACTTACGTCTTTTTTTATGGTGTATTTACACGTAACAGCATTCTGATATATCATGTCTAAAACACTCAGCTCTGAACCTAAAGACCATGAACTTTGAACGAGATTTCAGAGTACTATGGCTAATTGGATATGTTATTAACTTGGCCCAATGGTGATTAAGTTTTGAACATAAATAAAGGAGAGTATGACACGTTGTTGGATATATTTATATCTCTGAAGTTTGTAGCAAGGACAGAGAACTTGTTGTCACAATCTGAGAAAGTGTCCTAGACGTACATTTTATACAATACCAAGTTAGTAGAATAAAGAATATTGATAGGTAGGAGAGTTCTGATCTAAGGCGATCAATGACCTAGGGTTTTCCTCTACGACCATGGTGTCAAACATAGCTTACTCAGTATATAATTCCATACAGTGGCTAAATAACAAAAGGTTTCATAAAGACTGGATAATAGGAAAAACAACCGAAGGTTATTGCTGGAATTTCAATATGGTGTGAAAGATTTTAGTACCGAGAAAAATAATGTAAACCCAAATTGATGATGTTTGAACAGAATGGATGGATTAGATCTTTATCAGAAAGTATCCAATTCGGCAATAAACAATCCTTAATTTGGATACAGTTAATGTAAATTAAGTGTGATGATCTGAGAAATTTGACAAAAGTGATATATGTAAGTGATGACAATAAAAGTCCTTTTACCTTACATTGGGTACCATTTAGGACAGGTCTTTCCAAACTACGAAAGACAAAGTCATACATATGTAAGCTATGGTCGTGAATCAAGTCCCTAATGATATTAGATATGATATGTAATAGAAATTGTGTTTCTAGAAAAGTAATCCAGTGACCACTTAACAGGAGGTTTCAAGAAGACTGGGCGAACAGGAAAATTGCTATTTGCGGAAATTCTGATATGGTGTTAAAACAATGTAGACACAAACTGATAATGAGAATGAGACAATATACTAGGTCTTTATCAAAAACCTAATCCAATACGACAATAAGTAATGGACGGTAGGGACGCAAAACAATATAAAGTCTCTTTTTGTCAAGAATATCAAACTTTACTATATTACACAGCGATGTGAAATGATGCACAAAGGCCAGGACTATCCAAACTCAAAACCAACGACAGGCACTTTGGGCTTGTATCGCGAACCTAGCTGTTTCGGTATTCACGTCAAAAGATTTTTGCTTACAATTATGTTGTGAAGTATTTCTCAATAGAAGATTGTCTAATTCTTCATTCAAACAGAATAATGAGTTTAAATATTCAACCACTGTTTTCCACATTGATCTACATCATTCCTCTCCAAAGATTTATACAAAATTGAGTCCTCTGAGCCCAATACTTGAAAACAAATTTGGTGCAAATAAGTTAATCCAAACAGAAGGATTTTAAAATCATTCTTCAACTGGGTTCCTTACAAGCAAGGAAACTGCAATCCCCACAAGGCCAGACCCACTATTCATACAATGTTGATTCTTAATCAGTAATGATGCTTTTTACCAAACTTGGTCAAAGATATCTTCATGCTACAAGAAGAAGTTTTAAGCAATTCATGTATTTCCTTTACTGGGTCCTGCCCCTTTGTCCCTAATACCCCCTTCACACAAGGATACTTAACACCAAATTTTGTCATTCTAACAGAAGGGTTTGTATATGTGTTAAATATTTGCCAGATTTCCCCTAATGAGCCCTGTCTCACTTGCCCCGGGAGACCAGACCCATTATGTATGAGGATGAAAGTTACTTTTCACTCTTTCATTTGTAATATAGAAAATGACTGGCAAAACAATGAGTAAGAATTGATACCTTGAAGGTTCAGTAGGGCTAAAAATGTTCCTTGATGTTTCTGCGTAGGTAAATATTGTTATAATTTAAAAACTAAAGTTTTTATCTTTAAATGTAAAATAGGGCTGCTTTTCTAAGCAGACATAAAATAAACAAAACTTAGAGTCACTTTGATATCCAATAAGTATGTTGTCTTCTAGTGACCCCAAAATCTTACAGGTAAAAAGTGAGTCATGAATATAAATGAAAGAGTGTGTATGAATAAATGTCACTGTAATATAGTAAAATACTTGTACTGATAATATATACTATCATCAATGGAGAGGATTTATATAAGCTATACCTTTAAAGTTATCCATGTGTGTGTATATATATACCAAGTGGACTTATGTCCTTGACGATAACCTGCGGTAACCAATATTGAATATAAAGGTTATGAGGATACATCTTAATGTAAGTAGTTTTTAAGAGTCACAAAATAAGAAATAGCAATATTATGATCATAGTAAAACTTAAGTGATATAATTTCAGCCCCTGAGGGTTCAACGGGATCAATATCTGCTTACCAACAAACTGTCATCCTGTACTAATAATTCTAACTAAGTTTGAATTATTTCCACTAGAAAATTCACAATTTTTTGCCTTTGATTCTGTAATTGGATGTAAAAATGCAATAAAGTTGATTGATATAAAAAGGTCCTCCCTGCTTTTAGACAAAATTTTGCAAGAAGAAATAGCTTCATCCCAACAGAACACAAAATATTTTAAAGCTATAACTGTATTTTTCAATCATTGGTCCCCACCGTCTGTCCCCAAGGATTTAGATAACAGACTCCTGTATCTGGAATATATGCCAGTAAGGTAAACTATTTGCAGTTTGAGATCTCCCTAAATATTAGAAATTCTTCACAAACAACAAATTGGATATGTTTATCATTTGCAACATTTAAAAAACAAGATTATAATTAAACCATGGGGAGAGAAGGTTTATAACACATACATATGTACATGTAGCTTTTGGTTTCACTATAAATGAAAATTTAAAACACACGAATGCTTCATTAATTAAGGTTCTGGTATTTATTTTATCATAAACAGGACATGAATGGAAATGTATATTGGTAATGAAAGACTCAACAGGCTGATTAAACAAATAACATCAGTAATTAATTTTCATATAAATTATGTATACCTTACATAAGGGGTATCATGTTTACACATAATTACCCTTACATCAGTAATTAATATTCATATAAATTATGTATACCTTACATAAGGGGTATCATGTTTACACATAATTACCCTTACATCAGTAATTAATATTCATATAAATTATGTATACCTTACATAAGGGGTATCATGTTTACACATAATTACCCTTACATCAGTAATTAATATTCATATAAATTATGTATACCTTACATAAGGGGTATCATGTTTACACATAATTACCCTTACATCAGTAATTAATATTCATATAAATTATGTATACTTTACATAAGGGGTATCATGTTTACACATAATTACCCTTACATCAGTAATTAATATTTATATAAATTATGTATACCTTACATAAGGGATATCATGTTTACACATAATTACCCTTACATCAGTAATTAATATTCATATAAATTATGTATACCTTACATAAGGGGTATCATGTTTACACATAATTACCCTTACATCAGTAATTAATATTCATATAAATTATGTATACCTTACATAAGGGGTATCATGTTTACACATAATTACCCTTACATCAGTAATTAATATTCATATAAATTATGTATACCTTACATAAGGAATATCATGTTTACACATAATTACCCTTACATCAGTAATTAATATTCATATAAATTATGTATACCTTACATAAGGGGTATCATGTTTACACATAATTACCCTTACATCAGTAATTAATATTCATATAAATTATGTATACCTTACATAAGGGGTATCATGTTTACACATAATTACCCTTACATCAGTAATTAATATTCATATAAATTATGTATACCTTACATAAGGGGTATCATGTTTACACATAATTAACCTTACATCAGTAATTAATATTCATATAAATTATGTATACCTTACATAAGGAATATCATGTTTACACATAACTACCCTTACTTATATATATACTTGTGTATAATTATGGTCTACCATGTATGTGTACAATGTACACATACATAAATTCACCATGCACACTACAGCGAAGTTAACGCATACGTATACATTACACAAACACACATGTGTACAGAACATAACTACAAACATATACACATGTGTAAAATTACAACAAAGACATACCATGTACACATATATAACTGCACACAGACACAACTAACTCATACCACATACACACATGTACAATAAAAGCAAAGTTATATCGCATACACATACATAACTACTCAGTTATCAATCTAAGTCATACCAAATACACATGTGTATTAACAAAGTTATACTTAAATAACTATATACATAGCACGTCCATTAATACACAGGTGTACCAGAACAGAAGCCAGACACCCGTGTTATTAAATACTTATTTCTAAATGCTTGATATAGAGACACAATAGGAAAAGTTTTTCCAAGTCTAGTCATACATCAAGCTGCATTTTATATTAATCATTTGTTACATAATAACAAACCTGATTAGAATATTACACACAGAGTTATATAGTTACATGTGTTGATACAGTGCATGTCTCACACAGGTGTACAGCTGTACTTACAACCAGTACATCACTCACACAATCTCACAGGCACAAAGTAGAAGATGTAAATCACATCTATAACAGGACAAATACAATCCATGTATATGGTATCTGAACATCACATACAATATACATGATTATGATAAATCACTCTACATTATATAACATCCTGAATAGTAAAGCTTAAGTCTGTATTCTGAGTGTGTTACTAAATCTCACAAGAATAATTGCACTTAAATATGATATTTGTCTTGTCTAACCCTATATATAAACATACTATCTTACCTTAAAGAGTGGAATAATATTGTTATTTAAATACAAACGTCCAACATGCTTTAACAGCCATATCTTTGGAAGAATCATAAATACAAAGCACAGATTTAAGATTTTAATGATTAGTTGTGAAAACTGGAAATAAAAATTTGTTTCCGAAAAAAAGAACTTAATACAGTTCACAGTGTAGATTATACAAATTAAATAGATATCAATATAGTAACCATATTACCATATTTAACACACACATGGAAGATTTACTCCAAAAAGAGAAATAATATCAAAATAATATGGATCCGCAAAGTTTGCAATAATGGAGATGACACATTTGATCTGGCTTAATCAACAGTGAATACATCTTTATACAAAATTATCACATCCCCCCTCCCTCTCTCAAAAATGAAATTCAATGCTATTAAATAGTACTCAAAATACTATGAGCATTATAATCAATTATCCTTCATGATATTTACAATTAGCTATGGCTTCTCCTAAAGTTTCTATACAGAGGTACGTCTCAATGGAGCTTACTCTGTTTAACATCCCTTATGCTAATGTCAAGGCCATTGGATAACAAGGGGAATGATATTAAAACAGCCCTACTGTATATATAAATATCATGACATCTCTGCTAACTGTGATTTACATTGTGCCTTCCTGAAAAGACTTCTTTTGTTTTTTTTTTCAAAGAGGAAGACACAGAAAATGTTAGAAATTAATACCTCTGTTTCTTTGAAAAATCACATATCTAAAAGTTATAATTTCTCGTTCAGCTTCTCACGGTAGCAGTATCTATTCCTGGATCTGTAGAAATATTTCTGATTTGTTCTGGACTGTCACCATGGACGACAATATCTGTTGAATCAGAAGAACCTGAGTCATTGTCAATGCTGGACGATTCAAGGTCATCAACTCGAGGTGATTCAAGGTCATTTGTGGAGGTCTCACCAGACAGATTCATCACAAGTACACGGCTAGTCTCGTCAAGGTTTACACTACTGGACACTGCAGAGACACTGTTGAGAGGGTCAGCTGTCTGGATGTTACCCGTTGTATTCACATTGTAGTCAGGTACACTGGCTGCAGTGTCAAGGTCAATGACATTGACATGTCCAAGATTACTTGTCTGGTTCACTGTGACATTCTGAAATGGTTCTTCATGGTTTATCCCCACATTTCCTGTAACTGTAGGATTTCCAGAGACAGTCCCAGAAGCAATGGCTTCCTCATAGCTAGGTAAACGGTCATCATTGTCACCAATTATATCTTCATACTTTGGAGGTTCTGTCACAACTCCAGAATAACTCGGCACACTGTCCCACAGCAATGGAGACTGTTCATCTGAAGTCTCATCGTCATCATCATCTTCTTCTTCCATGTCTGAACAACATTTATAGATAAGTACGCTGAATATTATACTTATAATTGCTGGACAGCAAAAGAACAAGAGGATGTAGACCCATAGACGAGCCACACAGGTTGACTGAACAGAGGTGGTTGAGTACATGTACCTGTTACCTGAAGCAGATTTGTCTGGCTCCAGTTTCACTACAACCTGTTTGGGAGGATGACTTTCTTTTAAATCAAGACTAAACTGACAGGTCGTGACTTTGAAGCATGAGGAGGTACTGACATCAGTTTGATACACTGTCCGTGCTAAATCCAGATCACATTCAGCCCACATCTCTTCATGACTTATGAATACAAAGAAGTACTCATCTGTGTTGGAAAATGTCCATGAATATGTTCCAGAATGTCTGATGCCAAATGTAACATGAGCAAACTCACATCCAATACAGTTAAAGTTTGGGGAGTCTCTTATAAATTCTGTGTAATTTGATTTACCTTTAATAATGACAACATCCATTACACCAGTAACGTGAGGACAAAACAGTTTTGCCGATGATCCAGACAGTAGATAAAACTGACGGGTAGCATATGACCACCGCTCTTCAAAATTAAATGACAGTTCAAATCCATAACTTTCTTTGAGGTTTGGTTCTATTTTAAGTGGACTTTCAACGAGATACGCAGAAAAAGAGGCAAAATTACTGGTAGGATTAGCAGTGTCAATATTAACACTATCACAGAACAAGTGTGATAGCCTTCGGTTTACAACTTTCATGTCTGAGGTTGTAAAATCTGAGAATAGACTGCCATAGAAGACGACTCCTACAGTTATACCAATGAGCAATCCGCAAATCAGAAGGTACATCCATAACATCTTGATTCGAGATTTTCTCGAAACCAATGATCGACTCCAGCAACAGCAGCAGCAGCATATTGCACAGCAGCCGGTACAACAATCATCTGGCGAATCATATCGCACTCTTGACCTGCGGGCCCTTAGCCTTCGTCTTGGCATGATGGATGTCTAATTCTAGAAGAAACAAATATCAATATGTATCGCAGGTATTTTATAAATCATATGTATTTATACATCCGAAAATGATTCAATGCATGAAATAAAATCAGCTCTCATCTCTACGTTACAAGTGTTAGAATGATTTTAAGCAAATGTGTCTCAGTACAAGGTTAATATTCAGTAAAAACATTTTATTCAAGAGCTGGGATTTAGATGCTGCAGTATATCTGTCAAAGACTGAAATAAATAAAACTTTTAATCCCTAGGGAGGCAAGATAGGGAACTTCAATGAAGTTGACGATTATGAGATATAAGCATTTGCAGCACAAAATCTTAAACTGTGGGTTTAGATGTCCTGTCTCCTATTTACTAGGATGAGATGTTGTTATACTAACATGACATGCATTTCTTATAGTTGTGACATCACAAAACTGATGCTGCAGGAGATCCCCTCCCCCAAACTCGACTCTGTGGTCAGACAATGAGATCCTGCACCAGTAAATGTGTGGAAAGACATAATACAACTGTATATCATGCATTTAGTCAGGTTCTCCCACTCCATACCAGAAGCTAGGTATTTTGAAAAACAGGATGTGGAATTCTAATCATACAGATGCTATGCTTGGCATTTTGACTTGGGAAAGAAAGATAAAAGTGGCTTGCTCCAATACAATTGATATTTTAACTAAGACACTGACCTTGTATTCTCTGTATACACTGTTCCCACAGGTGCTGTGGACACGATTGTGATTGTTTTATTTCTATCATTAAATGTACCTAGTTCATGGACAATACACCATTTTATAACGTCAAAATGCTTTACTGAAAAAGTGCAAAAATAACAACCCACGTAGCTACATTGATAAACATAATCACATGTCGACGTCCAAAGGCATCCGTGACTATTCCGTGTATGTTTATCACCCTTCAATGGCTGATGGAGGGTTAGACTGAAAATTTCTGTCACTAAAATTTAATATCAGTACTTGAGTATGCTCATTTTAGGAGGGCAAGAGAGGACTATAAGAACACGAGTTCCATTGAAATGAAACGTCGGACAACCACTACTGTAGAGGCAAGAAAGTAAAAACAAGAAAATCAGTCAGCATTCGTCTAGCCAAGGTACATTCACAGTGTCACATGTTTATGACACGGTGACAGTTGCGATTTCTTTAACGTTCAATAGCCGTCAGACACTGACACCAAATTAATTTGAATTACTTTTTTAACATTTACCTTGTTATAACATCTTCTGTTTGTATGTTGTACAACTATCAACATTGACGTATGGTTACAGTTTGTTCCTGAGCTGTGGCATGTAAAAAGGTCAAGGACTTTGACACACACCTACTCTAAACGCCAAGCCGAGTGACGGTGATCCGTATTTTTACCAGAGGCCCCCAACGGGATAACTGTGTATGCTACTGTGTCGCAGGATAGGAGAATACCTAAAATGGAACACTTTTTAAAAATATTTTAGATGCTGCAGCATCTGAATTTGGAATACATATGAAAAGCTTCTATTCTACGCAGGGACTTATATATAAAAATTGTATAAACTTTCAGGAATAGAAATATAAAGAAATGATATTTAGTACCATTCGGCGACTCAGAATTCCTGTCATATTTATAAAAAGTTGGGGGATACTTAACACGAATATTTGAACAGATAATCGACTTAAAGTAATAATAATGTATATAATGAAAATCTTCAGAATGAAGGGAACTACATTATATATCGTCATTAATGTTTATTAACTGACTTTTATTTAAGAAATATTTTCATTTCCGGTGCATATTCTCTGTTTGGCCTTACCAACAAAACTGATGTTACATTCCGGTTTACGTCAAGTCTGACAATCTTTCCCGCCAAAACGGAATCTTCAGTGCGTGTTATGTCCATTGAATGACAATTATTTTCTTTATTCAGCAGGAAAATAAAAGCATAAATAAATAAATATCAAAATCGAAGTGTGAGAAAAAGTTTTCTCGTTGACGGTTATTTCCTGGTGTGTAAACAGATATAAAACATATAAAATATCTGAATACAAAAAAATGCATTTTACACATCGATTAACAACACAAAGGAAACGTTACTTGTTATAGGTAGTGTGCAATCTTATACATACGGTTAAGTATTGGAATAAGAGCGTTTCAACCGACAAACGGCTCTGACGTTTACAGCGGTTATAATTGCCATCAAAATTACAACATTCAAACCATATTATTCTATCGTTAACATGAGTTTCGGTTTAGAATACCAAGTGTCGACATCACGATGAACAATGAAATAACTTTAAAAACTTGAAACCATCTTATCAAAATCTTAAAAAAACTCTTATATAAAAACTGAAAAAAAGTCTTTATATTTGATGTATATAGTAGCTGTGTAAGTAATTTGTTTATCTATGTTGTAAATAGAGCCTCCATTCACATGCGATATTCTGTTCAGTCTTGTCATTTTTAATAGAATTTCCACTTTGGTAATTTTTCACGTGCCCGTTTTAGAAAATACATGTATATATATATATGGAGAGTTCTTCTAGTGTGCTTCTCACAATGATAACAGTCGACTGTCCATCCGAACGGAGTGACGATTCTTTGGGAGATTGAGAGAGTAGTATTTCTTTCGATTGTCTCCCTTGTAACATGTAGTACATGCACACAAGCGCATGTAGCTTTTTTCTTATAAAACTTCATATAGTCTTTTAGAGCTTATTTCAATAACGTAATCTGTAATGTATGGAATGAGTTCTTAGTTGCGGTGTATTAGTAATGTATGTTTGTTTTTTAAAGAATATATTTTAGTTTTTGTTTGTTGTTGTGCATAATAAATCTCCTTCTGATATGATTTCTTATAACAAACGTCATCATAAGAATTTGGAAGCATTTTGTTTTTTCGTGTTTGTTTTAATCAAATAAACAAAAATCGTTGACATTAATTATAATATATCAAAATAATTCATGACAACTTATGAAAAAACGTCATTGTTTACAGTGTATACTTAAGTCAATGGGACACTCTAACTTTAGTTCCGAGTGTTTCACTAATGTTATTTCCCTTCAGTCGATAGCTGTTGTATATTGGGTACCTGTCACCGATAAAGGATTAATCTGAAATATTTCAGTTTCCGATTTTGATGTTTTTATTCCATATTACCTCAGCTATTTCTTGACTTTTGGATTTCAGTATCACATTCGGACATTTTCACTTTTACATTGTGTTTTTCACACCCCTACAATGTTCTCATGTTCAAACTCGTATTCTGTTTTCAAGTTCAATAAATCAATTTCTTGGTAAAGTGTGAAGTTAATGAATAGTCGTCTGTAAACCTTTTTATTTTTTTTTCAGAAAGCCTTCGTAACAAATATTAAAAGGAGGGGAGGGTGTTGATTTGTCGATAGTGAAACCAGGCAAAAAGTAAAGTTTTCAAAATGAGAACTGTCGCGCACATGTAACTTTATATAGCACAAGGGAACCCCACATTTATTTCTAGTCTGTTTATTGGAACATTTGAGGATTATAAGGATTTAATGCTCAGTCGAATCATGTACAATCTTTCTCATCGTCATAAGTATAGTTACTTCCTCTTACCCAAGTGCCGTCATGGTGTCATCCGAGTACAATAGATCTGCATGTGTGTCACCGAGGTGGTTGATGTCACGTGGGATCATTTGTCACGTACAACATTGTACGTGTGTTAAACCGTTATCTTTTCGCTCAGCTTTGTCTAATACTTTCATAACACTACACTGACATACTTTGGTTATCGGCAAGGGTTATACCGAAGAGTGTTAGTTTCATGTTCGCCCTACAAACACGACTTGTTAGCTGATTACAACCGTCCTTGTACATAAACCATGTCATCAATACATTTGTTTTTAAAGTCCATTTGGAGTGTCATAGTTATCCCCCTTTCTGAATTCCAACTTACGACCCCTACACTATCTAAATTCTACAAAGACAACGCACATGTAAAAATATCTATCCTGCTTTTGGAGCTTGCATTAATACTCCATAATTGCTTTCTAAGTTACTATAATTTAAGAAACGAAAAACCGTTAATGTTAGCGATTCTGTTTATTGCGCTGAAGTTTATTTTAAAAAATCCCCTACAATCATTTTTACATTCGTTTCCACACGGAGCAATTATTTTCGCGTATGTCACCAGGCCTCTTAAGAGTGACGTCATCGCCAACGTCAAGTAAATGAACCGTTAACAAGTTTTAACAACACACTTTGAAGTTAAGATTGTCTAGAGAAATACATGCCCTTGTCAAAAAATGTAACATGCATTTAGGTTCGAGACAAAAAGACAAAAGTGGCTCACCTCTTTTGTCTTTCTTCACCTAGCCTCATAAAGCACCACGTATATTTTATAACACTGACTATGTATTCTCTTTATCTACGTTTTATCGATTAATCTACAGCTGATGTTCACTTGTGAATCTTGAAAAATCCTTTGTGCATAGTAATAGCCTGGATTTATCATCCATATCCATCGTATAGACGGTCGTACGACAGACGGACATGGTTTGTCTGTCCGCGAATATCCCTATGTGCAGTTACGTAACTAGGAGATGATGTTCATAAACCGAAGAAAAAACTCTTGTAACAATGGCTGTTTGACTCCTTGTTGGTATCTAACACATGGATATGTCCTTGTCCGATATATCAGAGTCAGGTGGTCGGTAGACACATGTCTGTGTTCGGGCACCACGTGATGTTATGATGAATAGAATCTCGCACTGGTGCAATCCCCATTATCATGCGACTTAGATTAGGGACAGCACGATAGATATACTATTACTGTACATCAATATAACATTATTATATTGCGTTACACTCCTGGGTAATATTTTAACTATACTGTCTTTGCCATAATCATTTATCATTTCACCAGAACAACTTAACGTACATGTTGTCAGTGTTTTTATGTTTGTGTGGGGCGGTCGTTTGTATAAGGTGTTTTTCTCGAGAACAACTTAACCTGCATGTTGTTAGTGTATTATGTCTGTGTGGGGCGGTCGTTTGTAGAAAGTGTTTTTCTCCAGAACAACTTAACCTGCATGTTGTTAGTGTATTTATGTTTGTGTGGGGCGGTCGTTTGTAGAAAGTGTTTTTCTCGGTAACTACTTAACCTACATGTTGTCAGTGTCTTTGTGATTATAATTTTTTATGATATTCAGCATCACAAATCAATTTTCAGATTCTGCAATTTAATTAGGATGATTTGATGTCAAGCATCTGTCTATTGTGTTTCTGTTTCATCTTTTATCCGATGATCATTTACTTCCATGTACAGTGAACGTATAGGTGGTGCACATTGAGCATACCTCGCTGAATGGAACCGCCCTTCGTGACACTTCGGTGGTACACCTTGAGCTTACCTCGATGAAAGGAACCGCCCTTCGTGACACTTCGGTTGTACACATTGAGCATACCTCGCTGAATGGAACCGCCCTTCGTGACACTTAGATGGTGCACATTGAGCAACCCTCGGTGAAAGGAACCGAAGGGTCGTTGCCTTTAGTTGGTGCACATTGAGCATACCTCGGTGAAAGGAACCGTCCTTAGTGACCCTTCGAAATTCAACTGAGTCACACGTTGGAATTAGAGAGAATTACTCAATTATTTTCTTACTTTATACGGGAATTCATTTATCACAAGCCATGTCTTTTATACATTCTTAATGTTGTATCTTTAATATACATTACAAATATGATATATAGATATTACACAACGAGTGTTTATGGTATGTAATATTTCTTTCACTCGAGTTAGGTACATTTTTTAATCGAGCTTAAGCGAGACAGTCTGGGGATTTTTGTAACTTTTGGAAAACCGCGTAACTAACGAGAACGAAAGAAATAACAAGAACGATTTTGTGTAACCCGTTTCTATCATACAATAAAAAACAGTTTTGTTCACGCCATTAGTTAAAACGTAATGTCACTTTTAGTGAAATACCGCTAATTAATATGCAAACCTGACAATTTCAGAAATACACATGGGAATATTACAAATTATAATAAGAAATCAATTGCTTTGTTATCTTCAAAGAAAAAGTGGATAGAAATCCAAATTCAAATTATTATCATTACAATCGTGAACTATTTCTTGCGCGTTCTAATTTTAATGAGTGCGTGAGGCGCCCTTTTGGTCATTCTGGTCAACCAATCGATATATGCTAAATGTTATACCACGTGTGATAAAATATATATGTTGATAAAACAGTTAGGATGATAAATTGATGCATTGGGAATTGAATAGCACATACATTTAATGGTAAAAAGTTAATAAAGAATACTGTATGTGTTTAATGTATTGTGTTTTATTGTATTTATCGTATTGTACTATTCGGCGCTCTATTAGATTGTATATTGCATTGTATTATTGTATTGAAAAATGAAAAAAAGTTTGTTAATATGTATTAATGCATTTTGCTGTATTTGTGTTCTGTTATGTAAATTGTAAAGTTCAGACGAAGAAAATTTGCTTATAAGCACATCTGAATGGGTCAGGCTTATGATCTGGGATTATTCTTTCCTCAAATAAACAAATTCTACAGTCTCGTTATTCTTTTGTTGTGTATGTGTTTTTAACACCTCTCCTTCCCACCCTTCCTTCCTGGCTTTTGTAAAATAATACCAACAGTATGTCCGTGTCTGTTGTATGATAATTAATACAAACCGTCAAATTTATGATTGTGTGTGTGTGTGAGAGAGAGAGAGAGAGAGAGAGAGAGAGAGAGAGAGAGAGAGAGAGAGAGAGAGAGAGAGAGAGAGAGAGAGAGAGAGAGAGAGAGAGAGAGGATGTGTGTGTGTATGTGTGTGTGTGTGTGTGTGAGGATGTGTGTGTGTGTGTGTGTGTGTGTGTGTGTGTGTGTGTGTGTGTGTGTGTGTGTGTGTGTGTGTGTGTGTGTGTGTGTGTGTGTGTGTGTGTGTGTGTGTGTGTGTGTGTGTGTGTGTGTGTGTGTGTGTGTGTGCTATGTTTATGTCTGACCACCATGTTGTCTTGGAAGACGACATATATAGGCTCTAGCCTGCTGTCTAATCCTATTGATTGTTTATATCAATATAATATTCTGGCCCGTCATTGGTGTATATATAATGTTAAGAGTTTTATTAAATATCACATGTACATGTACAACTTTTACCTCTCCTGTACTACATCATTTTGATTACTAGATTGATTGTTCACATTGCACGTGCTCGTAGTTGCCTCTTCGTATGATGGCAGATCATTGTCTGTTCCAATAATGTCCTCATATTTTGGTGGAAGAATAACCACCGCTGGAGCCCGAGCGGTATCCCATAGTAACGGCGTCCTCTCGTTTGATCTTACAGCATTGTACGTAACTTCTGGTTGTGGGTCGGAACAACGACGGAAAATAAAAATGCTAATTACGATAGACAGAAAGGTCGGTATTCCAAAGAAAATGAGAACAAATATCCAACTTCTACTCACGCAGGAAGTTTCTATAAAGATGCTACCTTCATCGTAATGATGTTTCTTGCTTGCTTTGGCGTAAAGTATAACCACAGGGGTTTTAGAATCTGTAATATCATAATCAAACACACACGTAATTGTATCCATACAAACATCTAGATGATTGCTAGTGTCGTATACAGTACGAAGGAGACTAAACCGCATGTCTATCCATGTATCTTCAATGCTACTCACAAATACAAAGAGGTAGACATCTGTGTCTTCAATATCTATATGTATGTTGTTATCCCTGTCTTCAAGCAGGCTCCACGAGTCTTCAACACAATCCATGCATTGTTTACCACTGTCAACGTAATTATTGTAGTTGTCTTCGCCTCGGATCAAGTTTAACTCTGTAAATGATTTGACAAATCCCGTAAGTGTTACGGCCGACCCTGTCAGTAAGTAAAACCTTTTAGTTACGAACGAATTTTGTTCGACAAACTGCGTGTAACTCTCGTTATATGGTTTTTGTATATCTGGAAGAATTTCAGGCGTATTTTTCATGAAAAAAGCATCAAATTTAGATTCAAAACTATCGGATTCGATGTCAACACTATCGCAAAATACATTTGACATTTTTTTATCTATAACACGCATGTCCGACATGGCCATTTCCGTCTGAACACTGCCAAATATTACTACGCCCGTTACTACTCCCGTTGTGAGTCCGAGCACCACCATATAGACCCATAACAATTTCATACGTAGCGTCCTCTTCATACTGCGACAACAGAACAAGTACAGCCATAACGAACAGCAACAACAACAGCAGGCTGTACAGCAGTCGTCTACTGGGGCCTCCCCTGACCGGATGTTGTCGGATGTAGATCGGGTTTGCATCAGTGACAAGTTTGGTTGCTTCCTAGTTATTACTGAAAATATAAAAAAATACATTGCATGAGAACGGACGTACGTGTAGCTGTCCTGGAAGACGGAGGACAGACATATGTGAAGCAGTCTAAGAGGACAGAAGACGGACGTGCGTGTAGCATTTTTTTCAAGTATGGTCTTTGAATTTCTTAGATTTGAATCAGTACTACATATAATATGTACTTGATACTTTATTTTATTTTGTTATTATTTTTAATTTTTGTTTTCTTGCCAACATCTCACTTCAATTTAATGTATAACATGAAATAGGTATAGAAGAGCGCAATGTGTTCTCGACGACAAGGACGGCCTCGCTAAGAGTTAGGTCCTTGTTTAAGTATTTGTTAAAGCAGAGACAACCGTCCGGATATCAGTAATTGTCATTTTGATGCCGTATTGATTGCAAGACACACTTGGTAATGGTCACGGGGGCTAGTAATGATAGCTTGTTGGACTGGACTACCTGTATTTCTACAACTGTTCTAAGTCTGTTCCGTATTTATGTGTTGTATGGTTCCGTTCCGTATCGTATCGTTCCGTGTTTCAGGAAGTCCGGTGCTTTAAACCAGAAATTAGATCAACAGGATACCGAATGTGATTTTATCATGATTTGTTAAAATCCTCTTTTTCAAAAAGATCTTGGCATAACGGGTTTTAAAAACGTTAAACGGATTTATTTTTTTATGTATTTATCCAAACTTATTAATTGGTTTTTATCTAAGCAGCTGGTAGGGTACAGTCGATTGGAATACAACACAATACAACACAACTCAACACAACACAATACAATACAACACAATATAACACAACGCAACACAACACAATACAACACAACACAATACAAAACAACACAATACAACACAACTCAACACAACTCAACACAACACAATACAATACAACACAATACAACACAACATGATACAGCACAACTCAATACAATACAATACAATACAACACAACACAACACAATACAATACAATACAATACAATACAATACAACACAACACAACACAATACAATACAATACAATACAACACAACACAACACAACACAATACAAAACAAAACAATACAACACAACTCAACACAACACAATACAATACAACACAACTCAACACAACATAATACAATACAACACAAATCAACACAACACAATACAATACAACACAATACAACACAACGCAACACAACACAATACAAAACAACACAATACAACACAACTCAACACAACTCAACACAACTCAACACAATACAACACAAATCAACACAATACAACACAACTCAACACAACACAATACAACACAAATCAACACAACACAATACAACACAATACAACACAACTCAACACAACACAATACAATACAATACAACACGACTCAACACAACTCAATACAATACAATACAACACAACACAACACAACAAAATACAACACAATACAATAGAACACAACACAATAGAACACAACAACAATACAATACAATAGAACACAACAACAATACATCACAATACAATACAACACAACACAATACAACAACAATACAACACAATACAATAGAACACAACAACAATTACACAACACAAATCAATACAATACGTTACAACACAATACAACACAACTCAACACAACACAACACAATACAATACAAGACAACTCAATACAACACAACACAATACAATACACTACAATACAATACAACACAACTCAACACAACACAATACAAGACAATACAACACAATACAATACAACACAAGACAATAGAACACAACAACAATACAATACAATAGAACACAACAACAATACAATACAATACAACACAATACAACAACAATACAACACAATACAATAGAACACAACAACAATACAACACAACAACAATTACACAACACAAATCAATACAATACGTTACAACACAATACAACACAACTTAATACAGACGTATAATATTATCTGGTTATAATTCCATACTATATTTTGATATATATGTCATTTCGTCAGTTTGTTATCTTTAATCAAATAATGGCGTTCTTGAGTTCAAATCCGAGAACATGCGAGAATATCCGAGTATAAACTTATCTTAATTTGTGTGGTATTTTACATTTTTCGCTTGTATGGAATAAAGCCATATTGAGTATTGATATCTAATTAAGAGGTGATGCGGTCCTTAATCAGATGGTACGGAGCTATACCTCCATGTGTCTTTACGAAAATAAACATTTATGCAGACGACATTGACAAACTTGATAATCTCATAGTTCATATCACTTATGGTGCTTATAAGGATTTTGTGGCCAAAATGTGTTTGACTAATAATCATACAGCTGTTTCGTCCTTCTTAGATACGTCAGTAATGATTATGACCTAAGTTTTGAATCGAGGAGGTGAGTGCGGAAGTCCCAAGGTGATGGAAAGAAATGTCAAAATTTAGATGCGTAGGTGCACTAGCCCTTCCGAATTCCGTAAGTTTCATTTATCTGTTGATTTTAGAAGAACGTCAAGTGCACGTGTATAATCTGAACCGTGCTACTATTCCTATATATTAAACGATGACGTGCAGATCAGTAAAATCTGTCTGTAGTTTACCTGGGCGATATCAAACTGTATTCCTACACAGACCTAACCACTCCAAATTGTAGTTTACAGTCTCATAAAATCGCATGAAATACAATAAAAATATGGAATGTAATCATATGATTGCTTTAAGGAATATCTGTTGACCGGAATACGTTTTCTACAACCAGTCATTTGGTCGGAGGACTTACCAGTTATACAGTTCGTAGGTTTACATTTTCACCCTCTTTAAATTTCCACACACCGTACCATAAGTACTCGCCGCGCCCGCTATAAAGGTAGCCGTTTCGCATCATCATTAATATATATTTCTCGGAATCTTAGTCCCCGAAACACTTATTCTCAACGATAAACTGGGTTAATGACATCATCATTAGTAAGCATTGCTAATACGTGTACTACACATCGTTCTTGACTCTGGCGTCTAAACGTAAAAAACTTAACACTCATATTTGTAACCTGGTTTTTGACCTTTGAAACTGTCCAAAATGTCACAAGAGAAGGTTGGTAGTTCCGGAGAGGTAAACGTTTTATTATAACTAGTACTGTTGGTCATACCAAAGAGCAACTTCCCGAAAATATTTACATAACTATCGCTTCTACTTGTAATTTTATATAAGTATAATAACTTATACTATAAGTGATTATAACGGTATAGAGACAGTCACCAAAACTTACGTGATTTTTCCTCGATTTTCGTTACACATCCTTGTCCTGTTGTACCCAATAATAAATTGATATAAATTTTTACATGATCATCATCTCTATACACATACAGTGTTTTATTTATCTGCCGATGTCTAGCGATACGTGTACATACATGTATGTGTATGTCTGATAGCGTGTTGATTAGGTAGGTTAAAATGAGAGCCTGTTTTATAACCCTTATCTGTACCGTTGTTTATTCGGGTAGTTCAGTATTGAAATTATGCTCACGTGTTTTTATAAACAATGACATTGATAAGGAGCGATTTTCGAAAGGCAGATATGACTTTTTTCAGGTAAAGAAGTGATATAAAGTTGAAGTACTTGTTCTTAACATGGCAGTATGTTTAGAAACAAACCCTGATATATATGTTTACAATAATAAGCATGACGGTGAAACCATATACACAAACATATGATCTAATAGATACATTTTTACACGCGAAACAGTAACATTGGTATCTGCAAATATAAAACATGGTAGTACAGGTGTTCATAACGGATTGCTTGTACAAGAGTTAATGAATCAAAACTGCCGTTTAAAGCCTCCATTAAAACATTGGTCTATTGTTGTACATTCCGTAGTAAGATCATGAAATTATTCATAAAACCAACCACTACCATCCTTCATTTGACATTACACAGAATGGAATAGCTTAAAAAAGTCAAAACAAGATCATGAAAGTAACAAGCTACTAAAGATCACGACGGGTTCAAGGTGACATGTAGTACTATTGATGGGTACAACGTGACATGTAGTATTATTGATGGGTACAAAGTGACATGTAGTATTATTGATGGGTACAAGGTGACATGTAGTATTATTGATGGGTACAAGGTGACATGTAGTACTATTGATGGGTACAACGTGACATGTAGTATTATTGATGGGTACAAAGTGACATGTAGTATTATTGATGGGTACAAAGTGACATGTAGTATTATTGATGGGTACAAGGTGACATGTAGTACTATTGATGGGTACAAGGTGACATGTAGTACTATTGATGGGTACAAGGTGACATGTAGTATTATTGATGGTACAAGGTAACATGTAGTATTATTGATGGGTACAAGGTGACATGTAGTATTATTGATGGTACAAGGTAACATGTAGTATTATTGATGGGTACAAGGTGACATGTAGTATTATTGATGGGTACAAGGTGACATGTAGTATTATTGATGGGTACAAGGTGACATGTAGTATTATTGATGGGTACAAGGTGACATGTAGTATTATTGATGGGTACAAGGTGACATGTAGTATTATTGATGGTACAAGGTAACATGTAGTACTATTGATGGGTACAAGGTAACATGTATTATTATTGATGGGTACAAGGTGACATGTAGTATTATTGATGGGTACAAGGTGACATGTAGTATTATTGATGGGTACAAGGTGACATGTAGTACTATTGATAGGTACAAGTTGACATGTAGTACTATTGATGGGTACAAGGTAACATGTATTATTATTGATGGGTACAAGGTGACATGTAGTATTATTGATGGGTACAAGGTGACATGTAGTATTATTGATGGGTACAAGGTGACATGTAGTACTATTGATGGGTACAAGGTGACATGTAGTATTATTGATAAGGTAAAGTTTTCTGCTGATGTTAACATGTACACAAGGAAATGTGTTGGTAACGACACTTTTGATGATATTGACAATATTTTCATTACA